GAACACCACACTAATAGCATCAGTAAAATCAAAATCATGTTACAGGTTAGTACCTACCTACGAATAAATAATAAGTATTATAAGACTTATTATTTATTCGTAGATACCTACATAATTGTATAATTTGTAACAAATTTCGGACTTTTTTACTTTTTTTTTTTTTTTTTTCCTACCTAAGCTGATAGCCCTAGCGGCTATTTCAGCGTAGCCTTAACTTTAGTAGGTGAGCTCACGGGGCTCAAACCTGACGATGTTGCTAACACGAACCCTAGCAAGAGTCGTGCTTCGCAGAATCTACCACCGGATCGGAAACGCGACCCACTGAGAAGATCCGGCGAGAAACTCAGTGGGCTGTGTCTGAGAGTTAATTTACTCGTCGAGCCCTTCGTCGCAAGCGACGGGTTCGACGAGAACGGTGACCGGTGCTTGAAGTACCTAAAAGCACCGTTAGTGGATCAGGAGGATCCGAGATGACGTGTTTAGGGCGACGTCGACTGCTTTCCATTCTGTCCGCAGGATCGGGAATGTAGTTACCGGCGGCCACGATGAGAGGGTTCTCGTGTCGTGCCGCTTTATCGAAGTGGCGCATGGACGCCGACTGAAGATACTTACTGATGGACTCTAAGTCCAGGTCGTCATGGAGGTCGACGTTCCTGACGAACCACGGGGCTCCGACGGCTATCCTGCAAAAACGGGATTGAATAATTTGAAAGGATTTTAAGTGTATGCGGGCCGCGTGAGCGAACACTACACTTGCATAGGTCATGACGGGGCGTATGCAAGTTTTGTAGAGTGTCACCTTATTTCTAAGGGACATTTTACTTCGCCTACATATCATCGGNTTCATCTGATTAATCCATGGAATAACTGACACACCTAATCTCTTAACCCAGATAGAAATATCAGCACTGTCGATTGCACCTATAATTGAGGTGATGTCTGCCATGTACTTTTGTCAGTTTTTCAATTTTTTTTATTGATGATCACTTTGTTGGTGCAACTTAATAAATAAATAAATTAAAACTATATATAAAAATAAAAGTAGTGCCAACCCTAGGAAATTTCTCATTTCGTCCCAATTAACCGCAATTTTCGGGTAAATAGGGATTACACCTATTTTTGCATTTTTTGCTTAAACTGGAATGCTAGTTGCATAATTTTAAATTAGACAACAAAGATGCCCCCAAGACTCAATCATTTTGATCCTGATATAGCATTATATACATCAACAACTACCTTAAAATTGCTCATAAAGTTGGAATTTGTCCCTAATCGCCCCATTTTACGGTATTATAAGACTTATTATTTATTCGTAGATACCTACATAATTGTATAATTTGTAACAAATTTCGGACTTTTTTATAATTTTAAAACTTTTTTAGATGACAACAACAGTGTTGATGTTTCGTTATGTAAGTATAGTCTATGAATGGATATGCAAAGGAATCGAAGTTCCTGTATAAATCATTTTTTAATAAAACTCTTTTTATTTGGGATGGAGGAATTGGTGATGACCCAGAAAGCTGTGCAGCTTCATCAGGACAGCTGGGCGAGCGTAGGCTCAGCCAACAGGGTGGAATTTGCTAACAGCTGTCCGAGCGCCTCTTTAGAAGACCAAACAGGGAAAGGGCAGCTGTTTTTCCTATGTATCTACTTACCAGTTCGGAATTGTGTCCCGCTCAAAAACTTAAGGGGCTGATGCCATGAGCGATATGTATGGTTACTGGGGGACCTATGACTGAACTTAGTGTTAAAGCCAAGAGGTCTAAAACAGACCCACTAACATCCATAAGAATTTTATTAGGGCGTCGCCGGGACTGGTTCTTCAATGAACTAATACGCCGCTCCTAGGTAGCGCTTCACCAAGGATTTCAATTATTTCTGAATGAGTTTCAAATCCAAATCGTCTTGAATATCAACAACCCTCACGCACTACGGATGTAATAAAGGTCGAGGCCACAGGCGCTTGTGATAGGCAGCGGCTTGGCTCTGCCCCTGGCATTGCTGAAGTCCACGGGCGACAGTAACCACTCACCATCAGGTGGGCCATATGCTCGTCTGCCTACAAGGGCAATAAAAAAATGAAATTGGTTTTTTTTTATTGCTTAGATGGGTGGACGAGCTCACAGCCCACCTGGTGTTAAGTGGTTACTGGAGCCCATAAACATCCACAACGTAAATGCGCCACCCACCTTGAGATATAAGTTCTAAGATCTCAAGCAAGTTACAGTTTATGGAATGAAATTGAATTAAATAAAATGGAATTATGCTAGGTGAGATAAATGAACACCATAATTGTAGGATGAGATTAAACGAAATAGCTGATGTCTAAAATGATAGAAATTTACTGAAAGTTCACTGAAGTTTAAAAAAAAAAGATCACGTCCAGCAACTTTCTCCTGTTTTCTGCACTTGTACCTACATCTTAACAGATGTTAAAAGGTTAATTATCCATCATTGTTACTCGCCCAGTACCAGTTACACCTGAAGGAATACTAAATTAATAAATAAAAAATTCCCATAACTTTATACTTCGTGTTCTCAACAAAAAATCACATACACATTATGTAGGAAGCATCAAATAATTATGAACCAGACTCACTAAATACCAAGTGTTAGTGTAAATTGTCCCTTCCTAACAAGTCGACACTCTACAAAACTAGCATACGTTCCGTCATGACTGCAAGTGTTGTGTTCGCTCATGCGACCCGTACACACATTAACTCTCTCCAAGCCATCCAATGCTGTTTCTGCAGGATAGCCGTCGGAGCACCGTGGTATGTGAGGAGTGTAGATCTTCACGATAACTTAAAACTAGAACTGGTACGTGAGTATCATAAGGAAGTGTCAGAGCGCTACTTTGAAAAAGGACACGACACAATAGCCCTCTTAACGTAGCCACCGCTAACTGCATATTCGGTCCAGGCGATGGGGCAAAGCAAAGCCGCCGTCACCCTAAGTATGTCTTGTCAGATCCCCCGGATCCACTCTCGGTACTTTTTGGCTCTTCAAGCTCCGGTCACCGTCCTAGTCAAACTCGTCGACTACGACGAAGTTCCCTTTTTTTATTGCTTAGATGGGTGGACGAGCTCACAGCCCACCTGGTGTTAAGTGGTTACTGGAGCCCATAGACATTCACAACGTAAACGCGCCACCCATCTTGAGATATAAGTTCTAAGCTCTCAAGTATAGTTACAACGGCTGCCCCACCCTTCAAACCGAAACGCATTACAGCATTTACAGCTTCACGGAAGAAATAGGCAGGGTGATGGTACCCATCCGCGCGGACTCACAAGAGGTCCTACCACCAGTTTCGAGTTCGACTACCCAATAGACACAACCCACTGAGTTTCTCACCGAATCTTTTAAATACCTTTGCGAGTAGTTACACCTTGTGATAATTGAGTTACCGGGTCCAAAGGTAGCATTGTGTTTACTGGCATACGGGTATTATTTGGTGCGAAAACCGAGCGTCTGATCATTTATTTAACTGTATCCGTATATTTACAGTACGGATAAATTTATACAACGTGTATAAAAAAATTGCAAAATGTAGACATTTATGGTGATGTTTTAATAAATTCATACATAATTTTTTTCACAAATTACAGAATAGAAAAAAAAACATGTTTAAATACAAAATATTACTTTCTTAAAACATTACTTATGCGCTATAGCTTCGTTTGGTTAAAATGATTTAACTTTCCTAGGTAAAGGCTGGCTAAAATGGCATTAAAATTATTTCATCACATTTATTCTTTAAAATAATAAGTTAAAATTATTTAAAAAGAATAAAGATCCTGGTGTTTTTTATTATAAACACAAAATTAATGTACTCTCCTATTTCAAAATGTAAACTATATTATATTTATACATAATATTAGTCTCTCAGAAACTGCAATAGGAGTATTTTTTTATTTATGGCAATACATGCTTCTAATGAAACAGGATTTTCTTGAAGTGTTTTAAACACTAAAGTAAATACAATTAAAAAAACCTTTTTGTGACGACAGTCTCAAAATTCATTGTAAAATAACGTAGCAATTTTAGTAAAGCCATTTCTTTAAGACACCCGCATCTTAATGGTAGCCCGGTCATGACGTCATAGAACACTATGAACATTTCTTGTCATTTGGCTATAACCCCAAATATACAGACATAATATATTCCACTTTATTTTGGATAAAACTACTATTTAATAAATAAAAACGTTGAGCAAAAATATTTCGAATGAATAAATGTATGGTTTTAACGTTTATGTGCAAAATGGTTGCTGTACTATTATCATTATCCTTCAAGCCATCGTATCAAAGCAAACAGATGACTTTTAATAAATGGGAATGGCCTATGACCATTTAAAAAATAAGACACATAATATTAGGAATATTAAAATATGTATTCAATATTTTTCGTATGGCAACACGCGCAATAAACTAGGTAACTGTTACATTATAACTGACACGCTATAATTACAAACTATATTTACGAAACTAAATATACAAAAACATTACAACATTACATACAAGGGAATGTGTTTGGTAGCAATTAATATTAGTGAAATATAATACAGGCTTCTTAGATATTTTATTATTTTTTATAACAAATATACAATGTCGCCTGCTGGGGTAAGCGACTACTACAAATATTCTGAACACTTAAGAAACTGTATAAAAAATATCCAGTAAATAGGTATTAAATTATTCACAAAATTATTATTTACAGTTTATAAAAGATCATTTTAAAGTTTACATATTTTGATCGTTATCATTTAATAAAATGGGTAATTTATTTTAGGAACACTGAACAAAATTGAAATTGAGTTAAAATATAAATACTAATACTATAAATACCTATTACTTATAAAATTTTAAAAAGATTACTAGAACGATATTAAATAGAAAGCATATAAAGGGACAGTGTTTACTGTTTTTTTTTCGATTTTTTTCATGGTTTTTCAGATTTGTAGGACATTAACTACATGTATATTACCGGTATGCCGGCTACATTGTATATTGTTACTTTTTTAGTGTAGATTTAGAATTTGATTTAACAATTAACAATCTTAATTCAGCTATGACGTTATACAAAACAATTTTATTTGCCTTTATGCAGATGTTCTCTTCAGAATAATATAAATTTTCAATTTATGAGCGAGACTTCATTCCAATAAATTTTAATATCTTTGGTCCGAATTGTGTGATTCCAATATTTGTAATATAGTAAGTTACTATTAAAACGAGATTTACGAATTACGAAATTCACACACTAGTTTAAAAAAAAAAAGTTAAAACAAACCAAATACAGGTGGTTAGTTAAAGAAACGTCGAGAAATTAATTTCACACGATACGATACAAAATTGTGACTTAAATCTTGTTTCGACCCGCGAAAAACATTTTAATTTAATTAAAAATCTAGAGTGCAAGGGAACCGCTACCGAATGATATTAACATAGTTGAACTGTATAAAATTCATTTACTTTACTAAGATTTATATTTGTGACGGCCATAATATAAAACTTCCGATATCCTATTAAGAATCAAAACGTTACTATTTTATTGATAATCCGCAATATACAGCGCACAAAATTTGTCCTTCAAATGTCATTCACTCATTTAACGGGGCGGCTGAAGGATGTTTCATGCGCTTTACATTGCCTCATCGCATTTTAAATATATTAACCGTGCAGTTAAAACCTGGAGCAGTTCCCCCATCACCAATATTCAGATTGGCTAGTTTTATTAAATCCCTCATGTCAAAACAACAAAGATGGCGATTTGAAATGAGTAGTGAAATGATTATACAATGAAAACCAGTCCCGCTAGACTACCGAAATCTAGAAAGCATGCACCAACGGTCTAAGACACAGCAATACCAAGCTACACGAACAAACTATACAAGAAACACTGGTCCGACAAGAGTTCACAGCTGAATATATTATACTATACCTCTATATCTCCAAACTACAGATCACATATTATTTTTGGCAAATCACTATTAATTTGAACTGTACAATAAATTATGTTCTATGTTTCAATTCAATTTGTTTTCAATTTGAAGAAAATGTTGCCAGTTTTAAATTTTCAAATATTTAATTCGAATCAAATCGATGTTGTTCAAAATGTAATTATAATGTTTTTTAGAAGATAGAAGTGCAACATTAATTAAATTGAAACATATGACATCATAAGCGTTATTCGCCTGCGACTGAATCAATGGTTCTACCATAACCATAAGTATACATAGCTAAGTCGCTTCTTTCTTTTACTAAATCGTATTGATTCAATTATAACACTTTCTACATATTAAACTTTTAATTTTAATACTTTAAATGCTCAACCGTTAATTTTTAAAAAATATTCAAAAACGAATACCGTAAACAAAAATGTTTTCTTGAGGTTTTTTTTATTGCCCTTTTATTTGCTCCTTATGAATTACATTACAAAGTAGTACAAAAAATTGGTTCGCAAATCTATAGGCTTTACAGCACACGTAAAAAAACAGTTCGTCCTTTATCGATAAGTGATACCTCAAATATGTACTCTTACATAAAATTACTGTATAAAGTTTAAAAAAGAAAAGTATAAAATCCCATTTAGGACGGCCAATGCACAATCTTTTAATGATATTATTGGTGTCATTTTTTTTTTAATAATAATGAAATTTCTTTACTGAGATTAAAATAGTACTTTATTTATTATTGACATTGACCGGCAGTCAAGGTATTGACGAATTGTAAATTCTTAGTAAAAAATAAATTTTCTTAGCGCCTTTTTCAAAGAGGTCTCAGCTTTAGCTTTGGTCAACTAATTAAGGATTATCATTTGTCAATTTTTGCTTGCGAATTAAACAGTTAAGATTTTAACTATTTTATTATATTTTAATGGTGATAGGATGGTAGGTTGTATACAATTACCGTCTATTCTTCTCACGAATCAGTAAACAGTTCCAGTAGCTACTTAAAATCAATTAAATAAATTAGTTTATATTTATTTTCTAAATTCTACCTTCACATCATGAGTACACATCATGTAGTGTTTTAATTTGCGTAAATAATGCCATGTTTTAATTTAACTAAGTTATAAATGGTTAATTTAAAAACAATTTTAAGGGGTTGCAAATACTGATCTTTGACTTAACTTTTGATTGGCATTACCTAGTTAAGCCTGCAAAATAAGAATGACGTCAAATTACAAGGGCGAACTTGGATTCGACGCAAAGAGCTAAAGCCGAGTTCATTGAGCAGAATTTATGCTTTACTTGGAGAATCATACAAAATTGCATTTAGTACAAATGCAAAGGACATACTTAAAATGTAAGTATTATAAACAAAACAATTTTCACGGTACAGTTTCGCCTTTATTATTTCTAAGGTTTCAATAAATACTTTATACTTTTCGTTGTCGTGGCGACAACTGACGAGACACGAGAGATTAAATCGTAAAAATAATTTCGATTATTTTGACGAGTTGCAAAACCGAATAATATCAGTCAGCATTCTAATATATATTAAAAAAAATTGATGATCTAGTTTATGTTGACATTAGAATCAATTGGAACTGAAAACCAATGCTTAGGCCTTTACGAGAGTTTTATTACAAAGTTCATAGTATTTTATGGACTATTTAGTAAAATGTTTTTATGGTGTTCATTATTTTTTAGTGATAAGCAGATTAGACATTCAAATACACTTACATTAATAGCAGAATATTAATACAAGGTTACATTTAGACGAACGTAATTTCCGTACGTTTGTGTTACAGAGCATAGGTGTTGAGTTACTTCAGTCTCCTCACTACCGTGGTTTTCGCTTTGACCGACTTAAAAAACGGGAGCTTCTCAATTCGAGGCGTATGTTATGTTCGGTGTGTGTGTGTACCACGATCACGCCGCCGAAACTGAACTGTTCATTCTCGACGCGTTCATCTATCACTAGTCGGGTAGCATGTGAACGAAAGAGACGGGGAACATCCCTCGCCTGCTCGTGCCCTCGACTTGACCTTCCATCCAGTTGTCGTCCTCGGTGCGTTCGTTGATGACCACGATCACTTCGCCCTCGCGGAACGACAGCTCGTCTTCGTTGTCCGCCGAACAATCGTACAGAGCCCGACACCGTCTGACGCCGCCCATCTGCCATTCAAATTCAAAATTAATCAGTCATTTTATCGTCACAAATGTTTTGTTAATATCTATTTTGTAGGGGGTTCGTTTGATTTTTTTTTTTGAAGTGAAACTTCTTTAGGCGCGTTGTGAGTAATATTTAACGCGCGACAGATTCGTTACGGCTAGAGAGAAAAGATACAATTTAGGAAGAGTGAGAATGAAAAAATAAACAGGGCGTCTCGCGAACCACTCGACTATGAAGAGAGGGAAAGGACAAAGCGAGCTAGGGCGTTTTTTCCTATACACAACATTCCTATTACAAGAGAAATTTCATACTACACACCGCAAAAAAAGTTTCACTTCTTTCACCTGCACCAAGTTGCCAGCGCACTTTTTTTTTCCTATCTTTAAATCTCGACTTCAACGTTATATTTATGTAGAAACCGATCTCTTTAGCTATCTTTCGTTAAAAGAAGAAAACCATTATACTACAAAACGCCAAAAGAAGTTTCACTTCTTTCACCTGCACCAAGTTTCCAGCGTCCCAATTTTTTTCTTATTTTTAAATCTCGACTTCAACGTTATATTTTAGTAGAAATCGATCTGTATTTTTGTCAATATACTTAATGGCATGTAGTTGCCTTATGGAGTTTCTCCTACCATAGTGATAGAGGCAGACGGCGATCTGGAGTGCACGCTGGACGTGTCGGAGACGTCGAGCGACCGACTGTCGCTGCGCCTGGATCGGTCCCTGGACCGCGAGCTGTCGCACGACATGGCCGAATGCAACCGACTCTCGTCCAAGCACGAATCCGTTATATCGCACAACTCTAATGACGAGTCTTGACTAGAACATTCCTGAAAGACAACGTATTATTTTAAAAATTAATAATAATAATGGTCCCAGTAATTTATTGGAGTTTCATCAGTCAACTAATCACAATTATTTTTTATCGAAATTTATATTGAGGCATTTGAAGAGTTCCAAATTAACTAAAAGTAAGTAAGATTGATATATAACCGAAAATGTTTCGTAAGAATTAAATTATTAAAACTGACAAAATATTTTATTCTCTGTCTGTGATTTACATAAATATATAACTATTTCGTTTTTTACAGTAACTTTCAATCATGCGTATTAAAAATATTCACACAAACCACAACTGTTAGAACAAAAACGAACAAGAATGAATATTTTTGAATTACATTTTTTTAGAATTCATTTTATAAGTCATATTTTATTTGTGTTTTCAATTCGTTTTGATTGATAGTATTTGCAGTATTTCACTTATCAAAGCTTCTAAATGGGGATATAATTATTTGTCACGGGGATAAAGTTGTTATTTAAAAATGCCTCTGTATTAAATTCCCATCATCAATAGGAAATAATAACGCTAATAAGTACACTACAAGCATCATAAGATTGCTAGAAAGAGTAGATATGACAAAAGAGTCATTGAGGCGATGCGGCAGCATTATTAGGCAAGAGCTTTATGCTTGGATTAAAAAAAATGTTACATCACTTAAATGTTTCTAACCGGTTCATAAATTATTGTTGATATAAAATAACGCCTGTAATGAAATCAGAAATCCGTATCGGGGTGACCAGTATCATCAGAACTTAGTAGATAGATAGATAAAACTCTTTTTTATTGTTATTTCTTAAGTGATTTTTTCATGTAGTAATTACTATACTATAATTACAGGTCCAAAGGTTATAAGAACACCATATATACAATAATTGAATCAAAAATCCGTGACTGCAATAGGATATTGCCGGCCAATTCTAGAAGCTCCAGATAAAAAAAAAAACTATAAGCCAGAAAATGCGATAGGATTATGGAAAAATACACAAATTTATTTCACAGTGCAGTACCGTATTCAAGTTAAATTATTATAGGACATAATATAAGTGCGATTCTTTGGAAAAAAATACAGTATTAATAAGGGGCGTAAAACAAACAAGGGTAAGCTTTTTAAATACACTAATTTCTCATTTCTGTTAATCTTTACCCTTTTGAGTTTCGCTTTCGCAGCCATTTCCAGGTGTAATCTATTTTTCTTCTGAAGCAAAAACAAACATAAACTCGTACTTCTTCATGTGTCGTTACTATTATCGACCTAACAATTCATACTGATACATTTATTTACAGTCTCCGATTGAGATTTATATAAATATCGGTGTAATCTAAAAACTAATTTTAAAATGGGCTTTTAATATGGAATATTAATTAAATTAAAGTGATCCGATTATTATTTTTTTGGCTTAATATCCATGACACTCATTATAAATATGTATAATTACATCTTGTGTAAAACGAATACTAATCTATTAATCTTTTGGCCACATCTATGGCAAATTTTTTGAGTTGCAACACTTCCCAGTTCCTTTTTCTTTTTTCAAATATTTCGGTGATAATTCGTTGTGAATTAATTTAATAAAATTTAGACGTTGTCAGAGTATGTATTTGAATCACGTCATACCTTCCTGGGAGGTGGCGTCGGTTCGTCGCGGTGAAACGCACCGTTGTGCAGCGAGGAGACGGTCGGCGGCGGGGTGGGGGGAGGCTGCTGGGGACGATGCTTCACACCCGAAGCTGAGCTGATAACTGAAATAAAATGTTTAGTTAAAAGTGAGACCGTCCTGTCTCAAGGTGGATGGCGGCATTTACATTGTAGATGTCTAGGGGCTCCGGTAACCACTTAACATCAGATGGACCGTGAGTTCGTATTCATCAAAGCAATAAATATAAAAAAATAAAAAAATGGGTCGCGATTCTGATCCGGCGGTAGATTCTGCGAAGCACTGCATTTACTAGGGATAGTGTTAGTAAACTCTCTCAGGTTGAGCTTGTCAGCTTACCTGCGAGTCCGTCAGAAGCTCCTCAGTCCATCAGATAGGAAAAAATAAGTAAGTCAGTTCTGAATTAATTAGCATACTTTAGTAGGTTAAGTGTTTCCCGTACCGTGAAGTGAGCGTGTGGTGTCGGCAGAGGGCGAGGGAGTAGAGCGGGGGTGCGGCGGGGGGTGGGACAGCGCCACGGCGGGGGGCAGGGGCGCCGCTCGCTTCTTTAAGCTGCCTATGTTATCTGAAATCAACATTAACATACAATATACAATCACCGTGTGTGCTGACCACTATAAATTCTCGCTGAATGCTATGAAATAAAATGCTGTTTCTTCTTATAATTAATAAAAATAGGTTAATAGAAAGAAACAGAACGATAGCATCAATCAATCCGGGTTAACGATACTACATAAAAACGGTAAGCTATTATAATATCAGCCCATAGTGACAGTATTGTGAAAATCGATTTAAATTAGTTATATTACATTATTATTTCAATTAGTTATGAGACTTCTTAGGAAAACGAGGATTTAACATACGGGTGCTGGATTCAGCGCATTACTGACAGAGGAATTTATATATAATATAATAAATCGTCGTGGCCTAAAGGATAAAACGTCCGGTGCATTTGTCTCTAGCGATGCACCGGTGTTCGAATTCCGCAGGCGGGTACCAATTTTTCTAATGAAATACGTACTTAACAAATGTTCACGATTGACTTCCACGGTGAAGGAATAACATCGTGAAATAAAAATCAAACCCGCCATATTACAATTTGCGTAATTACTGGTGGTAGGACATCTTGTGAGTCCGCACGGGTAGGAACCACCACCACCCCGCCTATATCTGCCGTGAAGCAGTAATTCGTTTCGGTTTGAAGGGTGGGGCAGCCGTCGTGACTATATTGAGACCTTAGAACCAATATCTCAAGGTGAGTGGCGGCATTTACATTGTAGATGTCTATGGGCTCCAGTAACCACTTAACACCAGGTGGGCTGTTAGCTCCTCAACACAAGTCAGCAATAAAAAAATTAAAAAAATACGAATGCCAATGCACATTACGCCTCCATTCTCCATATTCTCCCTGCCTCGCCATATTTGATAAGAACGGGATTTTCGTTCAATCATATCGAATTTATCATCATCTCATTTAATTTATCCACTTCGATTAATCTTCAAAAAGCGCACACAGCATATATCGGTTTGACAATAACAATTAGTTAATTTTTATTATTTATTTATTTATTAAAATCGATCACGCCCGTTAACTGGTCCCGAGCTAAGTTCGTAAAGAACTTGTGTTACAGGTACCAGATAACGGAAATGAATGTAATTTTTTTATTATACACATACATATATTTAATATACATCCATAACCCTGGAAAAGACATTTTATATTTATTATACAAATATCTTTCCTTGACGGGATTCGAACCCGCGACCTCCTTGTGTAGTGACCATGTCACTTACCACTACACCAGACGGCCGTTTAATTATAAAGGAAGTTGAATTATTGTTTACTGGTGAACCTTAGACCTTAGAACTTATATCTCAAGGTGAGTGGCGCATTTAAGTTGTAGATGTCAATGTGCTCCAGCAACCACACCAGGTGGGCTATGAGCTCGTCCACACATGTAAGCCATTAAAAGAAAAATATGAACAAAGCCTCCATTCTTCGCATTCTCTCTGCCTCGCCAATTTTGACTTATTGCATTTTACTCACAGACGTTAGGTTTCCTTGGCAGCGTAGTTGGCGTCGGGGGGGCGTGGTGTAACGAATCGCAGGTCGACGAGCGGGACCGCAGCACGGGGGAGTCGCCGCCGGCGCTGCCCGCGGGCGCCGCGCCCGGACCCACCGACCCACCCGCGTACGACGGCGGCCGGGAACGCGGACACTTCTTCTCCGGAGTAACGCTACCGTTTTGCTGAACAAATATAAAAATAAACATCGCATATTATGTGGAATTAGGATCGTGGCACATAAAATAAAATTGTGGTATGACATAAAGGGATGTGTAATAACGATCTATCCAAAATGTGTATCCGATTTTGTGCTTGAAATGTCAAGAGACGAGTCATTGATATTGACGCTCTGTAGAGGCTGTCGAGCGAGTCATTCAGTTAGCACGGAATAAATGACGATAATATAAAAAAAAAAAGAAACCATTCGAAATATACAGGGTGATACTTTTTGTTTTTATTGATATCGATTTAATCAATGCTTTTACTATTCACACGTTTCATCTTTATATATTTAAGCAAACTGTCTTGTAAAGGGTAGGTTATTTATTAGTTAACGACACTCACTCTTTCGTCGATAACAGTGTCGTCATCCGAGAAGTCAGTTGAGCCGTCGTCGTGCGATAAGTTCCAGTCTATATTTATGTTCTCGAATATGTTTTTATCTCTCTTATCCACACTCTCCAACTGTAACAATAATATTTATATATATATATTAATACTTTATTACAGTTTTTTTTTTTTAAACCTTAACATTTTGTTAGTAATAATTACTTATAATCTATGTTACTAACTTAAAAAATCTAACACATAACTATCATTATATACATTTTATACCATTACATTTTTTTATTTTTTTTTCTCCTTCCAAGTGCCTACTGCAATGGCTATTGATCAGCAGTCCCTCGATCTTGCTCGATATGATTCTCGAAATTATTCAAAAAATATTACATATTCAGTTTTTATGTTTCGTACAAAATTAACACTGAGGTTTTTTATCATTTCCTTATTTACATCTGATAAAATTTTCCTGCCTTTTACCTATAATTGGTATTTAATCGCCAGGCTAATTGAAATGAAATGACAGTCGTTTACAAGACTTGTTTGTTTGCTAGTTATAGAAATTTTTAAAGTCCACCTCATCGGAAGTAGTCATCGTTATTAATCTATATCAGTAATACCAGGATAACAGGTAAATCAGACTGGCGTTGAAGCATATTGTAAAACCTCACAGGTAGACAATATGTTCCGGTTTGAACGGTGGAATATAAAATAAATAATAAAATTCTTAAGCTAGCAGATCCAAATAACTCATAATATCAGAAATATTGAGTATGTCTTATTAGCTAGCTCACACAAATATACACCAAATCCTTTCAATTTCTGCCGCTCGCGCCCCGATTTAATAAATAGCATACCCATTATTCTAAAGAGATTTATACTCACACTAGTGTTTCAATACGAACAACTGTATCACTGTTGTCAAGACCATTTTTTTTCCTACCTAAGCTGATAGCCTTGAGAGGCTATTTCAGCGTAACCTTAGCTAGTAGGTGAGCTCACGGGGCTCAAACCGAAGTGATGCTAACACCGACCCTAACAAGAACAGTGCTCCGCAGAATCTACTACCATATCGGAAACACGACCCACTGAGAAGATCCGGCAAGAAACTCAGGGGGCTGTCTGTGGGACTAGACTATGATCGCCTTAAGCCAATATCAGAAGGGCTGTCAGTTCGTTCACGATTCGTCCTGGTGGTTATAACATAAAAAAAATAATCTCACCAATTCCTGACATCCATGATGGCCCAGCTGCCTCGCTATCTGCAAGGGCGTCCGACCGCTGCCGTCCCTGACCGACGAATCGGCGCCGGCTTTGAGAAGCAACTTCATCGGTTCCGTTCGATCGGTCGCCGCGCACAGATGCAGAGCCGTCATGCCGGTCGAGGTCGCCTTGTCTAACAGTTGAGAACCACCGTTCTGGACTAGAAAATCGACTATGTGCAAGCAGGAACCGTCGCCCAGTTCCCGCGATATGGCCAAGTGGAGGGCTGTCTCGCCGCAGTCCTGTAAATGGACGTACCGAGATTCGATTCAATTTAATACGAATGTAATGTACTGAAAGATAAACGGATTTGAAAAATAACAAAAATTAAAACAGCAACGAATATGTGCTTTATTTAAAGAGGCATAGAGCTCTCAATCGAAATTTAATCGAATTAATAATATTTTTTTTAAGTTATTATATTATAATATATTATAAGATTTTATAAGTTAATTTTAAAATATGATTATTAGTCATGTATCTAACCAAAAAAATAATCAAGGAGTTTGCTAGAGTTATCTGCAACATTGACACAAGATATAGTTCAATGATTTGAAAAATATCTTCGGTTAATTTGTTACTCCAATCATTAATTAGGCATACGTTTTTATGTCATTGAAATTGGAACGGTGACCAATTGATTCACTGGCGAATGGGTAGCAGCATTCTCCGAGTGAAATCGCCAACCGATATTTACGCGCGGATAGGGACCACCATCATGTCATTTGTAGGCCGGGAGAGTGACGTAACTGCGACTTTGACCTCATGTCTCAAGGTGGGTTTCGGCACTCAATTTGTGATGTCCATCCGGTAACCACTTTAGATAGGGTGAACTCGTTTACGATTTAGACAAGAAAAATAAACGAACATACATATGTATATCATTAAAGGGGAAGCTCATAGTGCATTGGTTGTGTTTTGTTATTCCTATGAACGGCTCCCTTCAATGTAGCGAGACAATGTATACTCATTTTTTAAATATTAAACACGTGGATTTTGATGTATAGCGTGAATAAATGACGCTTCTGACCGAATTCTCTCTCTAATGGTCGTATAAACAAAACACAACAAATCAGCGTGTCAGAATTGCCTTTTGTAAAAATGAGTACCTTTAAAAGAACGTCCTAATACTTATTTACTTTTAATTCTAAAGTAAGCACACTCATGCTCAAATTAAGTAATTATTCTTTTCCTAGGTCGCGTCTGTGACGGGGTGCCTTCAAGACAATACAGCAGAAGAGAGAAGCAATGTGCCTTTTCTATTGATGTTTTGATGACGTCACTTGTCAATACTCGCTCTCGCTGTACCGCAGGGGTTCCCAAACTTATTTTGTCTACTGCCCACCTATGAGAATAAATTATTTTTTAGCGCCCCCCTTTTTTTACCTACTTAAAAACCACTAGCGAAAGCTCAATCGGTGTCTAAGAGTCCTCCTAGATAAAAATTAGAAATCGCCTCCCAAACCTCTACACAACGCCCCCATTTTTTTCTGGGTATCATACCGCCCCCCTTTAGGCCTGCAGCAAACACAAGAGGGCGTTATCGCTCACTTTGGGAAAGGCTGCTGTACCGTTAGAAGGCTTACCGAACAAGGAAGCGTCGCAGCCAGATCGGCGCCTTCAGCGTACGCCTGCAACAGGTTCTGCAAGTGTCCGTTGTTGACTGCGTGCTCAACTTCGGAGAGACGCTCGGCCGCGTCGCGACACGTGCGCGCCGCCCACGCTCTGTACACGTACTTCTCGCGTATGAACCTGAGACGCTCTTCCCTGGAATATTTATCATAAGTTTTTTGTATGTAATAACTAGCTTTTGCCCGCGACTTCGTCCGCGTGGAATAGTTACTTTGGCATAACGCTAAATTTTACCCGCGACTTCATTTACAGCACTCAGGATTGGAACTTCATTACTGAACCGGTAGATGGCGTTGAAGAAGAAGAAGATTTTGAGATTTTTTGACAATATTATTTTAATTTTCCGTAAAAAAAAAAAAATTCTTAATAAAAAGTATCCTATGTTACTTCTAATACCTCCAAGAATATGTGTACAAAGTTTCATGATGATCGGTTGAGTAGTTTTCGCGTGAAAGCGTAACAAACAAACTTACATTCACATTTATATATTAGTAGGGATTGGTTTCTTTTACTGGGGTTAGGACCACCGCCCTGCCTATCGCAGTAATGCATTTCGGTTTGAAATACTCTTAAAACGGAGACTTAGAAACTCATGTCTCAAGGTGAGTGGCGGCATTTACGTTGTAGATGTCTATGGGCTGCGGTAACCACTTAACAACAGTTGGGCCGTGAGCTCGTCCACCCATCTAAGTAATAAAAATAAATATAGAAATGCAACACTGAATCAGTCTTATTAATATAAACTTACATCGTACTCTCGGGCGTGAGTTTGTCTCTATCATCGAGCGTGTTCTCCATGACTTCATTGAACATCTGATTACCCATGTTCCTGGCCAGTAATAGCTGCGAAGTGCTCAGTCTGTCTAAAGTCAAAGATTGAATCCTCGATATATGAACGCCGAGTTCTCGGTGACTTCCAGAACATTCGATACAAACTATTATACCGAAATTTGTCGATAGCCATGTCGGATCTGAAAAAATAAATCATATAAATATCCAATTTATTTTAAGTAACTTAGTACTAAACAAAACCCATAGGATTTACACAGTAATCTTAAATGAAATGTTTAGAAAACGCCATCATACCATTTGTCGAACCGCAATCAGCGCACACTTGATTTCCGGGCATTGATCTAACGGCGCGTATGATAGATCTCTGTAGATCTAGCAGTGAATGACCGGAGTCACTACTCTCGCCTACTTGCTGGTGGAACGCTCTCATCAGGGCCCCCTCCTTGCAGTTCACCAGAACTGATGTCCAAGCCCTTTGCTCGGCCTCGTCTTCGGCTTGGAAGTGATAGGTACGGTTGTCTGCCAAGCAATACATTCGTTTGTTTATGAAGAATGTAATGTTGTCGCCGGGGCGGTCGCAAAATGTACCTTAAAACTGAGTTCTTGTACAAAAATGGTCCTAGAGTTTTATGCGAATTTATACATTATCAATTTATTATTACTAGTGGTCCCGGAGTAGTCAAAATTCGACTATAATTAATTGAAATTATAAATTTGAACATTATTAAGGTTCTATTGTCAAAGACTAATAATACTTCTATGATCACAGATTTCGCCAAAACTACACTATAGACAAATAATATTAAAGATAAACAATATTAACCTATTCTCAATTTGACCACAGACTTTAAGCAATAACAAAGTTTGACAATAAACAAATAGTATGTATACATGCGTGTGTGTGTCAAATAAATGGTAGTGTGTGTAATATTTTCTTTATTGATTTAATGTATGTTTTATGCATTATTTTAAAAAAATATTAGCATTGGGCACTGTTTCTCTATATTCTCTATAAGTGTGGGAAATTTCATACTCCTCCGTCCGCGCAATTTTCGTAAAAAGGGGTACAAAGTTTTTGATTCACGTATTAATATATAGATGTCTCAATTTACTTACATGAGACTAGATCGAACGCCCTCTTATCGTCTGCGGCTACTTTGATTTGGCACGTCAATAGATTAACTCTAGCTGGAGTCTTGTTTTCATCGGCATGGAATATATCCAGAAAACCTTCAGCGGCGACCCGACAGCGACGTTTTTGCCAAACACGTCTTACTTTACCTTCGGACTTTTTTAAAAGGTAACCACTTCTGGTCACCCCGTGTTGTTTATCGCCTTGCAGTTGGTGGAGAGAATAGCCTCCCACCGAAGAGGCTACCTAGAAAAATTTACATTACAACCTTCAGTAATTGTTCATTGAACGATCACATCAATGCGTTTTGTGCGAAATGAAAAGTATAAAAATATTTTTTTATAGAAAAATAGACGGTAGTTAGCAAAATATTTATATGTCGAAGAATAACACTTTAGGCATTCGTATCTACGAATTCTGTAACGTATTCAAAACGTCGGAAATAATATAGTGACATTAAAAAACGCGAGAGTAAGCCGTAAAAAATACTAGATAATGGTCACCTCTCGATCCTGTGGCGCTGCTGCCCTCAACATGTTCCTCAATTCTAGGAGCCCCCTTCTCTCGTCGTCTTGTTGCTGTCTAATTTTCTGTAGCTGGACACTCAGATCAGCTACATAAACACCGAAATGTTCGATTGTCTTCAAGCCGTCTTGAAAATAATTTGTCTGCGCGTGATAGTACTCAACTAAATGCTGAAGCAACTCGATTCCTTTTTTGGTTTTTATTTCATTGAACTTGATCAGGTACTGCAACAATATAACGGACAATTTAAAAAAAAAAAAAAACATTCGGGAAGTGGAATTGCGCCAGTTTTGCGGTAGACAGAGTGTCGCCAGAAGTCGCGTGGGCACGTCTCTCCTTATTATTTCATCAACAAGTTACGACCGTGGAAAATGAAACACGTCGCGACAAACGAGTGCGCTACCCGTACTGTAGAAGCAGACCAATATTATACCGCGTGCCCTTCCGCAAGCTAAAACTGTATTTGATGACGCACGCGCAAGCAGATCTACGCTATAGTAAATCCAGATTAGTGTTACCGAATTGTGCAATAATTATAACGAACAGCGCGACCTTGCATCGTTTTCTTGGCTTGGCAACCGGTACATTAATATAAAGTAATGTATTTCTAACTTGAATCATAGCGGTTCCTTACTAACACAGTCGAATGAAAAGCATAGGAGACCGGTACCGCAGTCTGTGTAGTTTGTCGGAGGTATTTGCATCGGGTGCTGAGTGAGACGTGAAACAAAGCGAGGGTCACATCGTCGCCGGCTTGCGCGGCGCAAGGCCGGTCGACGACCTGACGCGCGCCTCTGCGGTGCGGCACCGACCATAGTGCTTCTAGCTTTCCTTTTTTTAGCACTCAACAAAGCGCTTTTGTGCAGCACACTGATGACTTAACTAGTAACTAAAACCAGCTAAATTGTTCACTGCGTGAAGAGGCCGTCATGACCTAATGAGTATGACGACCAGTGTACTCTTATCGGGTGAAAGGACTACCTACTAAAATGTAAAGCGCAAATGAAATTTTGTGTGATTACTGGCAAGCCGTATGTATGGGGAGTCTGGATGGATAGTTACCACAATTCTGCCAATTCCTACCGCGAAGCCATCATGTTTTCCGGTTTGCTCTAATAGCAGGGGATAATCGTTGTACAATTCAGTTGAGACTTCAAGCTCATGCCAGCATGGCGAACGAGACGGCTGCAATAATGTATTTTATAAATTGTAATATTGCGTCTTTAACCTCATCTTTTAAGATTGTGATGCGTCCTCAGTAATCACTTAACATCAGAAGGACATGACCTCTTCTGACATACTCAAACAATAGAAATACAATAGAGCCCACCTCTGTTTTATCTAAATAGTTATTATCTCAATTCTCAAGTCATATGCTATGACATGACAATAAATAACGAGGGCTGTTTAATTTAGACATATGTAAACTTTCTAAGCATTTTCATTTTTATTGGAGTCGAAGGTATCCGAAATAACGACCCACTAAATCTACATGATCAGCAACGCACATGGACATTGATTATACCAAGGGTAGAGGAGAGTTACAGCAGCAGCATAGCTAAGCCACTGCCTACCGCTAAGTCATACTTATATACCTACAGATTAACGCTAACAGGCGTACGCCATTTTGTTTTATAATTAAAACAAATTACTGTCTGTTTTTGTGATTTTCATTGAAAAAATATAAGCTTCAGAAACACTTAGTTTTGTACATAGCATTGCTCGAAAAGTGAGAGTATCCGTGAACATCAATTAATCGGTCTAACTTACGCAATACCCTTGAACCCTAAAACCCTGCCATTTGGCAGGCACAAATGTACCATTAGGGCCAAAAATATTGCGTTATTAAATAAACCGTTTGGCATTGCATCCCGAATTGCAGATAGACGCATCTATTTACAGCAGACTTATTTGCCAACAACTAAGAAGCAATGCCTAAAGTTAAAATAAATGTTTCACAATGAAATTTGATCATTTACGTTTATATTATACTTTGGTCATTAGTAGAATCTCGAATTGCACGTAGAAATGGATGATTTGATTGTGGGAAAGAATTGGACGCGTCTAGCCTAGACCGTAAATTGGACTCTTATAGATGAGACCCACACTCAGCAAACTGTAACTTAAGGATGAAGATTAGTATAGCAGATGTATTTATGATGATGTCTCAGAAGTAATAGTTTTATGGACATGAAACAAAGAAATCGGATCCTTAAAAAAATACGTCAATCGTTTCATTTAAAAATATGTACACAGAATTCATGACCACTCAAAGTGTTTAAATGTGACCCACTCTACGCCGCAGCGGAGTCAACGCAGCATCAATCGCGTTTGAGTGGCAGCCGCTTGGCAGGAGAAGGGCCTGGTCGCCCTGTACATACTTGGCGACGCACCGTGGAGAGTAAGATGAGGACTGCCAACGTGACCCGGAGTGATGTCAACGAGCAAGCGCAAGAAAGGGTCAAGTGAACAACTTGTACCAGTACTTGGGTCCTATGTACCAGCGGGGTACCCTAGGCCTACAACAACAACAACAAAAGTATTTAAACCTTAGTAAAGGAGCCATTTTCTGAAATGTATTATTATAGTATATCCATACTAATTCTATACTAATATATAAATCTACAGTGGTTTTTACGGATGTTCCGTTATAATTACTGAACCATGCATCCGATTGACTTGAAACTTGGTATCCATGTAGAAAATACATGTACTTAATGGATAGGCCATATTTATATGAATATTGGACTCCCTAATAATAATGACAATAAATAATGATGTTAATTTTAAATGCGCAGCGAAGCGGGCGAGTACGGCTATATATCCATAAAGATATCCACAAAAGCCAGATCGCGGAACTTGACCCTCATCGCCGTGATCCAATTTACGTAAAGTATTTAACGGTCACAATCCTGCCAGTTCAAGTACATTACCCAAATAACACAAGTGTCATTGCCAATGCACTGCGACCTTTTTAGTTTAGGTCGACATCTCATAACGGCATTATAGTCGGCCACAATTATATCTATTGTGTAAATTGCAGAGATAACAGAAACAGTGCAAACGACTGTCACCGACAGATGTAATTAATGTTATTCATGCACTATTAATTTCAGACCGGGAACAATGCGATTTGTTTTGCAAATGCTGGAACGTATTAAACTTATATATTTTAAGAATATTATGTAAATGCAATTACACGGGGAATCTTAATGTATAGAATATTAGAATAGTTCTATTTTCATAATAAATCACAAACCAGTCACGTCACTATTCATCTTAAAATATAATAAATACTTAAAAATGTTGACTCTTTTAAAGGAAGAAACAAACTTGAAATATACAATTTTAGGATGAAAGTATACAACACACCCTCTGTTATGCAATGTAATTATTAATAGCTAGTTTTCGCCCAAACTCGACCATAATCACTGACGACTCAAGATTTATATTAATATTATATTATGTATAATTAGTTAAATGAGTTTCCTCAAATTAACAATCCCGTTTCCTTTTGTTCGACCTTCCGTAATGGAATCCTTGTACCTCATCAGGACACCCAAAACTAGTATAATGAAAGTTAATTAGTGGCGTTAAAACGGATCGGTTCAACGAACTTTACAATCAGTTAGTTTTGTCTGTAATCATTTGGTTCACTATGAATCATTCTCGTAATGTTAATGCATAACGATAAGTGAGCCCGACGTATTATCGATATATTCATTATAAGCGATCATGTAACGCGTTTGATTTATAAGTATATTTGTTGATTTGTTCGGAACCAAGAAACTTTAAAATGAAAAGTTCAGCGGTTTTTTTTTAAAAGACTGTAGATCGGACTTCTCCAGAGCTAGATACTTGAAGTTTTGATAATTATAATTATTACTTGATAATGCTGTAAAGTGCGCAGAAAGATGGGTTTTTATCTCTATTTAAAAAAAATTAAGGTTCGCTGGCGGACGAGAGGAATTGCTAAAACGTAAGCGTCGCCAAACTATTAAGTCGTTCGCTGTTACTAATTATATTACAATTTCACTACATCGGGTATGTTTCTAAGGATTTATTATTGATTGGTTTTCACAAATGACAAACTAGCGAATTATACCAAAGGCTTTAAACGTAGTCAGCGACTCGGATTTAAAGCATACTCATACTACTATAGGCGTGATCGATAAGTCAAACAATGCGAACGAATCTTGAGTTATTACATATTTTTATCAACCAAATACCTCTTATGAATCTTATTTACCAACCGTAAACGTTCATAGCAAGGAAATCCCCGTCCGGGCGTATCTGGAATAGCTCCTTAGGCTACCAAAGAATAGGTAGGGGGAAAAAGCAACGAAATTTTTATTTACGGCATTCAAAATTTCATGCACATGCGATCGTACGAAATTTGTTCCTATGTAACAAGCCGCTAAACAGTACCACAATAATTCATCAATTAAACGCAACCACTCTTACTTTAATCATGTAACTTTAATTGAATTATGACTACAGTTAATCAACGTGGTAAATTGTTTATTACACTGCTGACAGTGCTAGGAAGCATTAGTTAATTTTAAATCAATATGTTGTACAAATGTTCGTAACGTTTTCGATCTAGTATACTTTTCCTCGCGTATATCTTATACCTTTAAACGAGCAATTCTTGTATATAAATATATATATAATCTGAATCTCGGAAACGGCTCCAACAATTTTCATAAAATTTAGTATACAACACCGGATTTCGGGGACGATAAATCGATCTAGCTACGATTTATTTTCAGAAAATGTTGTTTTATTCGTGTTTTCAATTATCGTCTTTATCGATAATCAAGTTTATGACTCTTCCAGACATCTATTGGCGAATAATAATACTATTTTTACTGCTTTAAAGACACAACAAGACGGCGTTATAAAAAAAAATAAGCCGAGCAAAGCTCGGTCATCATCTAGTTAACTATAATATAATATTATTGCTATGTATTTTGACCATATAGAGAAGACTCAGAAGCCAAGTGCATGTGCAATACTATGTGAGCGAATATAACTTTCGAATAAGAGAGAAATTAGTTTTCCTTCGCATCGAAATGAAAAAAGAAAATCTTTCACTGGCACTAATAAAAGTTAACGCCAGTGAGTCCACTAGAACTTTCTGAGTTGTGTAGTTTTACCTGTGGACTAATCGAACAGCCAATATAATGTGACTATCTCATTTCTTTGAATGATAAAATTGTTT